TTTGTTTATTTACGTTTTTTTTTCTTTTTTGTTTAATATTAATTCAACAAAAAAGAAAATTACTACATGTAATATATTATAATGTTAAAAAAAAAATAATAAATAAATAAATTGAGGAATGAAATTAAATTTAACTAAATCGAAATGAAGCTAATAATTAAAATTAATTAGCTTATCCTCTTGTTTAGGCTTAATTTAATTTTTCTTTTTGCTATTATAGTTGAATGTGTTATTCAGTAGCTTACTATCATATAAAATACTATATAATTTGGAATTCAAGTTTTATTTAAAATCGAATAAAATTGAAGTAATTCATAAAGTTACTTAATAAATTGCAATTTTTGTATATCAAAAAAAAAAAAAAAAAGTGGCGGAAAAGAGTGCTAAAATAAAAAAAAAATGCTAATTTTACTTAGCTTAAATAAGACTTAAAATAAAGTTTTATCACTTTTATAGCTAAAAAAAAGTAATTTCCATTCTTTTTACCTTTTGTTTTTTTCAATTACGTTTTTTGAAATTTTCTTGATTTAAATTTCCTAATTAATAAATTCCCAATTAAAAAGAAATAATTTAATTTTAAATGATTCCATTTAAAATTAAATTATTTCACTTCATTATTCAACAATTAGCACAATCGCATTACACATATATCATTATTATTTATTAATTAAGAAATTTAAGACCAATAATATTTCAAAAAATCTAATTAAAAGAAGAAAAAAAAAAGATAGAAATAATGAAAGTTACTAATTTAATTTATTTTTTCTTTTCATTATTTATTTTATGAAATGAATAATAAAATTTAATTTGGAATAATTAAAAATTTCTTTTTTGTAAAAATGATCAATTTTATTTATAGCGAAGTTATTTATTTATTTATTCTTTTTTTGATTATTTATTTGAAATAATTTAAAAATTTATTTTATTTTATTTTTATTTTTTTTGCTTTCAGGCAAGAATAATGCAATGATTATTATTTCAAAAATGTTACATATGCCATTAAAATTAAAATGGGGTAAAAAAAGTGGTCGATATGATCTAAGCCAAGATATTTACGTATTAACTGTTTACCTTGGTGATTATGCAATCCTTCAATGTACACTAACAACCGAAAGTACCGCAAGTCAATGCATGGAATATCTTAGCCAAAAAGTTGATCTTAATCAGGTTAGTATATATGTAAATTTTATTAAAATTTACATATATAAATGGTAAAATAGAAAGCAGTGGTAGTAATAAACAAGAAAGCAAAGCAAACAAATAAATAAATAAACAAACAAAGACAAATAAACAAAAACAAATAAACAAAAAAAGAGAGAGAGAAAAACTATAATTAAATCTAACAAAAAAAAAAAAAAAATTAGTAGTAAGTTGTAAATTTTAATTTTTTTTTTTTTATTTGGTTGGATAGTGTCATATTATAGGATATGGATGAATAGCAAATAAATGAAGTGATTGGATCTATATATGTATATATAAAATTTATAGGTAAGAGATATATGCTCATAAATAGTTTACATAAACAATACAAATCTTTTTTTGTTTTTTTGATTTGTTTATTTGTTTACTTATTTATTTTATTATTTATTTTTTCATATTATAATATGTTTATTTAATTGTTTTATTAGATGCAAGGCTTTTCCTTTTTTTTTTTTTTTTTTTTTGTTACCTATTTTAATTTAAGCTCTTGTTTTTTTTTTTTTTAAATATTTTAAATTTATTACAGGTAGAAATGTTTGGCTTACGATATCAAATGAAAACAAACGATCCAGATAATAGGATGATGCGTTGGGTGGAACTTGATAAGCCATTAAGACGACAATTGGAAAAATGGGCTTGCAAACCGCGACAAGTACAATTAGCTGTCCTCTATCATACACCAAATGCATTTACATTAACTGATCAAATGGCTAGGTGATATCAAATTTTAATAATTTAAAAAAGAAACAAAACAAAAAAAAAGATTAAAAATGATTGATTAAAATTTTTTTGACAAAATAATTTTTGAAAATGCACAAGAAAAAAGATGAAAAATGATAGATTTGTATTCATTCTATGAAATAATAATTTTGTTAATCTCTTCTTTTTTTTTTTTTTTTCATTTTTTTTTCAAATTGTTATATTAAATTTAAAAAAAAATAAATTATAAATAAATGAAATAAATAAATTAATGTTGTTTTTGCTTTTTTTTTTTTGCTTTTATAATGATTTTTTTTTTTATAATTTTTGAAATAAGTAAGCAAAATTAATAAACTAGTATTTTTTTTAAAATTTTTTCTTGTAAAATGAGACAAAAAAAAAAAAAAAAAGACGAGAAGTTTTCAATTTTAAATTAAATTAAAAAGGGTAAGAAAAGGAGAAAGAAAAAATTTTATTTCATTTAAAATAATTGTGATAAAAGAAAAAAATTTTTTTTTTCTTTTTTTAGATCATACTATTTTTTCCTGATGAAATTGGACGTTGTTGAAGGTAAATTAACGGTTGCACTCGAAAAATATATTAATCTTGCAGCTTACAGTCTTCAAGGTAAGACAAAAATTTATATTAATTAAAAATAAGAAAAACTAAAAAAAAAATAAAAACATTTAAATTGATTAAAAGTAAGAAAAATTAAAGAATAAAAACATTTAAATTGATTAAAAGTAAGAAAAATTAAAAATAAAATTTCTATTAAATTTTATTTGAAATTAAATGAGTAATTAAATATTAAAAGTGATGAAATTATTTAAATTGATTTGATGTTTGATCATTGTTCTATTTGTTTATTTTCTCTTTTTTCTTTTTTTTTTTTTTTTTTTTGCTCTATTATGTTTTAGAAAATTTGAAATGAAATCATTTTTGTTTTCTATGCAAAGTAAAATTTTATTTAACAAAAAAAAAAAAAAAAAAAAATGCATTTATTCTCTTTTCCATTTTTTAAAACCTAAAAATAATTTGCATTCTGTAAACAAAATATATTAAATATAAAGTTAGATATAAGTATTGCATTATCAAAATTTAATATTATTTTTATTATTTGAGTATTTTTTTTTACATCTCCAAATTTCGACGCTATTTAAACAGTAAAAAATAAAAAAAAAAATTTTTTTGAAATTTGAAATATATACTTTTGTATTGGTTTATGATAAGTTTATCACTCTATGATAGCTTTATCAGTTCGCTTTCAAGACCGAAACAAACGATTAATTAATTATTTGAAAAATTTTTGCTGGTATTTTATATATTTTTTTTTCTTGCAAAATGGATAATTTTTAAAATTCTAATTTTTTGTTTTATCCATAACTTTTCAATTTTATATTGATTAGTTAAATGGGTAGGAATGTTAATTATAATTTAGTATGGTTATACAATTAATTAATTATAAAAATTTTTTTTTGTCCTTTACTTGAAATTAATCTGATTGAAACGATTATTTTGAAAAATTTTTTAAAACTTTTTCTTTTTTTTAAAAACTTTTTAAAACTGTTTGAAGTTTTTTTGTGAAATGAAGTTATTTATAAGTTATTTATGAAATTTTGTTATTTTTCGATATCTTTTTTTGATTTTCTTAAATAATAATTATTTAATTATTATTTATTTATAATATTTATTGTAAGATTTTTAAATGTTACTTTTATTTCATTGTCTTTTCTTTTTTCTTTTTTCAAAATTAATTCAAAGATTGTTTATTTTCCAGTAGAGTACGGTGATTTTGATCCAACAATACATACAATTGATTTTATGCAAACTGTACCTCTTTTACCAAAGGTAAATAAAATAAAAATTATAAATAAGTGATTTTTTTTTTATTTTTTATTTCAAAGATTTTAAAATTTTAATTTTTATATAATAATAATAACAATTCATATAAAAATTTAATTTAATTTTTGTTCTTTAAAATTTGATTCAAATTTTCATAATTCTAAAATGATAGCCAATAAATAATTTTTTTTTTTTTTTAAAATGAAAATTTCAAATTTTTATTTTATTTAAATTTTTATTTCTTTTTTTTTTTTTTTAATATTTGCAGCATATTTGTCGAAGTGCACAAATTCAGGAAGATTTATTAAAACGAGTATCAGCGGTACATGAACGATTAAAAGGTATGCAACCTAGTTATGCTGCATTATTATATATCGTTGATGCACAACAATGTGAAGGTTATGGCGAAGAATATTTTAATGGAAAGGTAAATTTAAATTTAAATAAATATTTTAATTTTTTTGTTTGTTTTCAATCAATTATAAAAATTGATTAGTTTTTTTGAAAAATTATTTTCAAAAATTTATTAAATATTTAATGTATTTTTTTTTTTTACAAATATATTATAATTAATTTTTTTTTTTTAAAAATTATTTCGAAAATTTATTAAATATTTAATGTGTTTTTTTTTACAAATATATTATAATTAATTCTTTTTTTTTTTGATAATTATTTTCAAAATTTATTAAATATTTAATGTGTTTTTTTTACAAATATATTATAATTAATTCTTTTTTTTTTAAAATTATTTCAAAAATTTATTAAATATTTAATGTGTTTTTTTTTACAAATATATTGTAACTAATTTTTTTTTTTTAAAAATTATTTCAAAAATTTATTGAATATTTTATGTGATTTTTTTAGAAATATATTATAATTAATTCCTTTTTTTTGATAATTATTTCAAAAATTTATTAAGTATTTTATGTGATTTTTTTACAAATAATATTATAATTAATTCTTTTCCTTTCGTTTTTTAAATAATTTATAAATTTTTCAAAAAAAGAAAAGAGAGAGAGAGAGAAAAAATTGATACATTTTTAGGATGAAGATAGTACAGAGGTAAAAATTGGATATTCTCAGGAAGGTATTATTATCAAAGGATCATATGGTGCACCATTAAAACATAAGTAAATTCATAAAAATTATTTTTCAAATTTTTTAATCAAAAAAAAAAAAAAAAAATGAAAAAAAGATTTATTAAAATTTAATATTTTTCGAAAAAACAAAAAAAAGAACGATGAAAATAAAATAATTGAATGTTACAAATTAAATTTGTTGTTGATTTTGGATGGGAACAGATCAAAGATATGCAAGCAATGAAACGACATTTAAATGTTCGACTTCATGATGGAACATTAATTCAATTTACTATGGTAGTTTTTAAATTTAAAAAAATGAATTAGCTAATAATAAAAATTAAACTTGAAATTATGCAATCTTTTTTTTTTTTTTTTTGATTTCAATAAAACAAACAAAAAAAAAAAAAGAAACTAAATTTAATTTTTATTTATTTTTTAAATTATAATTTTATTTGGGAAGATGTAGAAATGGTACATTATGTAGCACAATAGTATTAAAATATTTACTTTAAATTTTGAAAGGAAAAAAAAAATTAAACTTGAAACTGTGCCAACTTTTTTTAATTTCAGTAATCAAAATTAAATTTAAATTTAATTTTAATTTTTATAGGAAGATGTAGAAATGGCACGTTATGTAGCAATGGTAATGATGTGGCAATTTCGTTATGCGACAAATAAAGCAATCATTGAAAAAAATAGTCCAATGAAGTAAAAAAAAAAAAAAAAAAAAAACAAAAAAAAAAAAATTATATAAAATACATAAATATTTTTTTTAATATTTTAATTGTATTTAAAATAAATTTAAATTTAGAAATGAAATAATTAAATTAAAAAAAAAAATTATAGTTTAAACTATTCTTTCTCATTGATCTCCTTTTTTTTATTTTTGTTTTGTATCTACCTATTTATTGTCATTTATTGTTTATTTTTTAATTTGCATCAATTTTTTAGATTTAAAATATTGATTTCAAATTTTTTTCTTTTTTGAAAACTCTAACTAAAGAATATTTATAAAATTTACATTTATATACATTTTTACAAATTCTTTTTTTTTTTAAAAAAAAAAATATATGAATAAATTTTTTATATATAGCCATAAAATTGACTAGAATTTTTACTTATTACTGAATATTTCATTTTAAAAATTTTAATTACTTTTTGATTAGTTGAAAGAAAAAAATAATTATTTGCTGAAAAAATTCAAAAAATAAAAGTTTATAATTTTTGCAGTATCAATAATTTGCAAGGAAGTATTCGAACATTCAATTTAATGAGATCATCAAATGCTGAGGTAATTCATTTAATACTTAATAATTTAAATATAACATTTTTAATTTGTTACATAATTAAGATTTAAATTATTTGTCACATAGTTCAGCTAGTATTCATCTATAATTTTTAACAATTAAACAAATTAATTTAATTAAAATTGGAATTTTTTTTTTTAAATTATTTAATATATCTTTAATTCTGCAAAATTTCTTTTCTTTTTTTCTTTATAAAAAACCAGAAATTATTACTTTCATTATTTTTATGATATAGAAACTATATGATTTGAAAAGTTGAAGTAATTTCAGTTTTTTTTTTTTAAATAAAAAAATTTTTTTAGCTTAATACAACTCGTCTAAATGGACCAGATTATGCATCATTAGTTTATACAATGATGCCTGAACCAACGTATTGCTCCTCTACCCAACGTTTACCGTCAACGAAAAGATCGCAGCGTACGTCACTTTTACAGGCTACGTCAATGTATAATTTATCAACGTATACTGATTCCAATGACACGCAAACGCAACCAGCAAAGCGTTCACCATTAACTTCATTATTACAGTATAATAAAGCAAAAAATGGTATATTATTTTATAAATTTGATATTATCGAAAAATTAATTCAATTCTTAAATTATTAATTATTTAAATTAAATTAATTAACTTAGATTGGATAAATAAAAATATGATATTTTAGTGATTTCATTTGAATTACAAAGAATGTTTAGCTCAAATGTTGATTGTTTAAAAAAAAAAAAATCAGAATTAAAATTTCAAATGTATAAGTGTGCAAAATGTAATTTAGTAATAAAAAATAGGTAAGTAAAAATAAGAATAATTCCCAAATTTGAATATATATATATATATATTAGAAAATAATATTATCAAATAATATTATCATTAATTAGTAAATCAGAAATGCAAATTACTAAAATTATTTCATTACTTTGATAAGATTTTTTGCCATGCATATTTTAATTTTAATGTAACAAAAATTTGTCATAAATTTTGATCAATAAAAAGTTCTCAAACAATCAATAATAATTTAATCAAAAAGAAAAAAAAAACACTGAAATTCAATGCAAAATTCTAGTTGTTCTAAATTAAAATAGCCAAATTTTAAATTAGAAACTGATCAATGTTAATTTTGTTTTGTCAATTTATTTTAATTGATCAAATAATATTAACAGGTATTGCTGATATATTATTATCAAATGATCAAACAAACATTGAAATTGAAAATGTTTCCCGAAATGTACTATCAAAATCAACTGCAGCATTAAATTTTATGAATGATGAAGAATGTACTTCACCATCAGATGTTTTATATTGCTCAACACCCTTTCTGCTACAAAATAATGCAAAGGTTTTTATTGTTTTTTTTTTTTTTTTTGCTTTTGATATTTTTATTTTCAATTTTAAAATTTAATTTCAACTTTTTAAATATTTACGATTTAAAATTGCAGTAAAGCTGTGTTTGAGTATTCAGATTGATATCATCATCTGATCAAATGAAGAAGGATCATGTTTATAGTTTAACTACTAGTAGTAGTATTATTATAATTAATTATTGTAATTAGCTGTACCAAAACCGGTTCAATAGCAGTATTAGTGGAATTAATATTTCTGTAGGATGCTTCATCACCGGAAGATAATCACCGGAATATGATTCCTTCTGTTGCTGAAGATGATGCTCAAAAATTTGAATTTCATAGTTTTGCTGCTTTAGGAAAACGTCATTTAACTGATACGGTAATATTTAAAATTTATGTTATAGTTTTTATCTTACAGCAAGAAATTCATTAACCTAATGCATGCAAAATTTTACATTGAAATAAAAAAATATTAAAAATATTAATTAAAGAAAATGGATTGATAGAATTGAGAGTGTAGTTGAATTTTTGTTAAAAGGAAAAAAAAAAAACCAAGAAGAAGCTTTGTTCATTTTCAGATGACTGGTTCCTCACCGGAAATCCGCATGATTGGCGGCGGAACGCATACATTAGGTCGAAGCGCTGCGGCATTAGTGCATAAGCATTCATTGCTTGCAAATGGATCACAAAAGGTATTTATTAACATTGATACTAAGTAATTTCATTTGTTTGATTGAAGCAACTAACCAACAATCATTACTATAAATAACAAATATATTGCAAAAATAAATTTAACAGTTTAATGATTAAGCGTATCTATCAGAAAATTTCCATCGGATTTATTTCGAAAATTGCATCGGATTTTTTAAAAAATTATTATTTCAACTGCTAATTCCTGATAATTGCTTCTTCTTAACCTTTCTTAGTTTATTTTTTTTAGCGGAAAAAAAAATGGAGCAAATTAGAATTTTAAATGTAATTATTATCCCATTTTTAGATTTCAATTAAACTTTTGTATATTTGTTTTTCTATCTATTTCTTTAACATTCTTATCATTGATAACAAATATTACAGACATCTCCGGCTCATGCACTTAGCAGTCCGGATCTATTGAGTACTTGTCATTCATCACCTGATCTTATCACTTCCGTATTAGACCGATATCGATTAGCTGTAGCTGAAGCAGAATTACGAGCCGCTGCTGTTGTTTCACAAAAGTCATCGAAATTACAACACCTGAATGGTACCATTCAAACTGGCAGACATTGGCAAACAGTAAAAGGTTGTAGAACTTATATATTACCATCATCACAATCAACAATTGTTAAATCACAGGTAATAATAATTCTATTTGGTGACACAATTTTATCAAATTCACTTAATAGATATGAAATTAATTTTTGATGATTTATTAATTTGTACTATTTCTTTAGATTTTATATCATATTTTTTCATTTCTAAATTATCTTATCTCATTTAATTTTAATTATTGTAAGATTTAAAAAAAAAAAAAAAAAAAAAAAAATTTCCAGTCAATTACATTCTGAGAAATCTTTTCTTTTTTTTTTTTGTTTTTGAAAAATTTGAAGTTTTTTTTTTTTTTCTTCAAATATTTTAAATAATTCTATTATTATAGCAGAATATGAATGACGAATCACAAAGAAAGAATGGTGACAATAGTAAGATAGCGACACATACGACAAGATTTATGATGATGGATGGTGGTACTAAGAAAGATTTTAATGAACAGATAACAAAAGATGTTTTGAGGAAAAAATTATGCAAGAAATCATCACCAATGATAACAACAACATCATCATCAACATCATCATCATCACAAGCAACATTTTTTCATCATCATCAACATCAAAATCATCATAATCATCCAACAACATCAAAAATTAAAGGTCAAACTCATCCAATTTCATATTTAGCTCAAGCTGGACACATCTATTATCCACCATCATCATCATTTATGCAAATTCATGACATTTATCGACAGCAAAATGGTAAAACAAATAATTTTGGTAGTCCAAATGAGACAAATTTAGGCGTAACACACGCTAACAATGCTATGAAATTATCACAAGCATTTTTGACGCATCAACGTTACGAGATTATTGAGGAAGATCGAACGCCACAAACATTCGTACGTCGAACTCATGAATTTCGCACACCCATAACTGCTGCTGCTGCTGCTGCTGTTAATGATGATGATGGTACAAAAGCGCTTCCAATTCAAAATGCGCCTCTTATCGTATCATCATCACGAAGTATTTCATCTCCTGATGTTTTCAACAATCGTACCAAAAATTCAATCACCAAACAATTAAGTGCTTCATCGATTGATTCCACACAATCTATTGCTATTCGATCAGTTACTGCATTAGAACATTTCTCGAGCGGAAATGATTCCGAGAATATCTCATCACAAATTATGCCAAATGAATCATCGGAATGTACAGTTTGCGATAAAGCAACAAATATCTGTGAAGCGGTAAATTACTTTTGTTTATTTGTTTGTTTTTTTTCGTCTTTATCAAATTTATTTAATCAAATTTTAAAGTTATTCATTAATTACTATTTATTCTCTGTGCTCAAATGCAAGAATGACACAAATGCGCATTGATGAAAGGAATACACATCAAATTATATTGTTTATTTTTTAATTTAATTTAATTTTAAATTTAATTTTTGTTTGTGTGTTTATTTTTAACTTAATTTAATTTAATTTTAAATTTTTTAATTTAATTAATTTAACTAAGTATTTAATATTTTGAAGTTTATGCGAATTTTTTTTTTGTTTTAAAAAAATTGTATTTGAAATTTTAAGAAAAGATGAATTTTCTTCAAGTTCAGTTCCTCACAATCTGTGACATTTTATTTGCAGCAATGACATCATAAATGATGCATTGAACTAAGAAAGAGTATTCAGAAAAGTTTACGTTTGACAAACAATTTTGTCACATATATTTCAGATAATTTTTTTTGGAATAATTGTCGACTAAATTTTATTTCCATTCTAACAATAATTTCATTTTATTTTCAAATTTAAAAGTTAGAAACTTTTTTTTTTGATTTATTTCAAATTTACAATGAAAAATTTCATAAATTCTTTCCTTCTTTTTTATTTTTTCTGTTAATAAAACGGAAATGAACGACAATTTTAGTGGAATTCATTTAATTCCAAATTTGATTGCAAATTTTTTCCCTTCTGATTGTTAACCTTTCATTGCATTAATTTGAAAAAAACGATTATCGTGTAAACAAAATTTTTATTCGTTAACAAATAATAAAAATGCTTTATCAGGAATTACGTTTCCGGTTTATTTTATCCAAAAAATTTTACACTTACTGCTATGCCCCTCCCAACCGGCAATTTTCACTATTTTTTCTTTTTTTTTCCTTTTTTTTTTCTGAATCAAATTCATTGTTTGTTGTAGGAAAGTTCATGTGATGCAGCTTTTTCCTTTTTTTTTTCTTTTCTCAGTTAATAGAATTGAAATTGATCTGAAATTTAAATTAAAAAAATATTTTTCATTAATCTTTTTTGATAATTCATTTAATTTCTAATTCTCTTAAAAATTTTCCCTTCTTTGTTTCTTTTCTTTTCTTCGTTTAATTTCTCATTGTATTCGATTCGACAAGGATAATTTTCTTTGCATCTTTTTATATTCTTCTTGACAAAATGACGATATTTTCCATATATTTATTTCATTTTCAAATCTCTTCCATTTCTCTTTCTCTCTTCTCTATCATTTCACATCTTTTATTACAATCTATTTACCTGAGAGAATTTCAGGAGGAACATTTCCTCTCTCTCATCTTTTCATTTTCATTGTCTCTTTTCCGTATACAAAGGTATAATTTTTGTAGTAGTATTATTCATTCAACCTTCTAATCATGAAAATTTTGAAAGTAATATCTTATAGTATAAAGGTGAAAAAGAGTGATTGATCAGTTTAAAAGATCAGAATGCTATTTACTAAAGTTTTATTATCTCTAATACTTACTGTGTTACATATTCATTTCAGGGCTTTTAATTATGATCTGAAATCTATCTATTCGATCTTAAATCTCTGAAATTTATCTATTCGATCTTAAATCTTTGAAATTTATCTATTTCAATTATTGCAAAGTTTATACTTTGGCTTTTCATTTGTATTTTTTTTACTTTTTATTACTTTTTTTTTTTTAACTTCTGATAGCCAAAGCATTTCTGAGCAAACATTTCACACATAATTGCAAAAATAACTCATTTATCTTTTAAATAGAAAAAGCGAGATGACAAAATGACTAATGGATATAGCTATGTATTTTTTATGCTAAATGAATAATATAAGAGTTCCAATAGTGTCAAAAAAATAATTAATTTTTTATTTTTAAATCTTTGACTAGTTAATAATTCAAATCTCTGACTAGTTGATAATTTAAATCTTTGATTAGTTAATAATTTAAATCTTTGGTTAATTAATCATTTAAATCTTTGATCAGTTAATAATTTAAATCTTCGATTAGTTAATAATTTAAATCTTTGATTATTTAATAATTTAAATCATTGATTAGTTAATAATTTAAATCATTGATTAGTTAATAATTTAAATCTTTGATTAGTTAAAAACTAATTTATCCCACTAGACATTGATCATTTTTTGAAAATTTTACATGTAATTGACAAGAATAACTTTTTTTTTTTGTTCAAGGATTTTGTTCAAAATGAAGAATTGTTAGCTAATCGTGAAGTTAGCTCGACTGAATCGGTCAGAGAGATGTCACAACGGTTTTCTTCACGACATATAATGGTCAACAGTGCATTGCAACATCGTATTACAAATACTCATGGACATTTTACCAATTTGATTGGTGATCAATTATCAATCAATGATCAATTATCAATCCCAACAAACGACCAAACAGTAAGTTTGTTGAAATTAAAAGCTATTTTAAGAGCTGTAAAATTAGTTTATTCTAAAATTTTATTGAAATTAAAAAATATTTTAAAAATCATAAAGTGTTGTATTCTAAAAGTTTGATCAAACTGGAAATTATTGACAATAACAAATGTTAACGTTAACAATAACTGAGAAAGTAATGATTAGTTTGTTGAAAGTTTTGTTGAAAGCTTTGTGATAAGCATAGATCATATAAGTATTTCACGTAATCTTCACGTATTTCTTCGATAACTTTTTGATTTGATACATGTGATACTTTGAAATAATATGCAAAAGATTTTTATCTTTTTTTTTTTTTTTTTTTTGCAGCTGAAAAGACTTCTAACAAAATTAGCAGCTGATGATGCTTTAGATGAAGAATTCGCAGTGATTCCGAATAAACGTATGTCTGCCGGTGTATCAACAAGTCAAAGACCGGAAAATATGGTATAGTTTCTTGAAATTTATTCATTCACAACGGAAAATGAATGAATGATAATAAATATGATAAGATTGATTTTCTCAATTTCTTGATCCATCTTCAAATATTTTTCTTATCCAAACTTCCAGGGAATTTATTTAGTACCTGATTATTTTACATTTCAATTTGAAAGCTTGATCTTTGTGGGAATTATGATAGAAGGGTAAGTTTATGGATGAAAAAAAAAAGTAGAGATTTTTACTTTCATTTTGTTTTATGTCCGAACTTGGCTAATTTTCAAAAAAGTGTTTTCAAGAAGAAATTTCCAGAAACGGAACCGTACACGATCGATAGTGCCATACGAAGATACACGAATTATGTTACATTCAAAACAATCGAATCCAACAGGCTACATTAATGCCTCAAACATTCAGGTAATTCAGCTTTAGAGAATTTATTAATTCGTAAAAATTTCTTCTCATTAAATTTGCATATTATAGATTCCAATTGGCAATCGAATTTTGAAATATATATTGGCGCAGGCTCCACTTCCGGATACCATTGAAGATTTCTGGCAAATGATTTGGGAATCCGGTTCACAGCTCATTGTCATGCTTTGCAGTGCTCAAGTAAGGAAAAGTTTTCCTATCAAATATTATTAATCTTTGGAATAAGAAATGTAATACCCACTGATCGATAAGTGATAAACGATTAATTACTATGAAATTACTTGTAAAGATTATTGCAGAAAAAAGTTAATTAATATATCAAAGAGAGATTTTGATTAACTTTTTATGAATGGTTTAAAACTTTAAACAAATAAAATTTAAAGAGGTATATATTACATAGAGATTGATATATGTGATATGAAGTAAAATAAGCTTGACAAGCTTGATAAGAAAAAAGATATGAATATTTATTCTATTATTCTTCAATCATAAAAAGATATCTTTAGGATTGTAAAGGTACCACAACACCCATTTATTGGCCAACAAAAGTAATGAGCAAACTAAGATTATCAGATCACTCAGTGACGCTACTTTCGAGTACGTCAAGCAAACATCAGGTGACAATGATGTTTCAATTGAAACAAAATTCGAATGGAGAACGACGAACCATTTATCATCTCAGATTGATGGATTGGGAAAGTGGTGGAATACCACCGAGTGAGGAATCTTTCTTAGGTAGGTTTATTCGCTTGTCCCAGAAGAGTACTGCCCTCTTACATTTTACTCTTCTTTTAAAATTTTGATATTGGTAATGAAACATAGCTAAAACTATCAGATTCCAAACTCCAATCCTTATTATTAGACTTTATTAACTTATTTTTTTGCAATTTTTTTTTTTTTTTTTAAAAAAAGTTATTTCCTTCCTTGTATTTTTCATTCCTGCAATCTTTAATTGTTCATTATTCAGTTTATTTTAAAATCATTCATTCTAAGGTAAACAGGCCAGTGAATAAGTAAAAATTAGTTCAGGCTTGATTTATCAGTTCAAAAATAAACATTTCTTTAGTCAATATTTCAATTAATAGTAGTTTTCCCTAGAAAAATTTCATTCCCTTTCTGCAGTCAATAATAAACCAATTATTTTTTATTTTTTTATAGTTATTATTCGTTTATTTATTTTTTAATTAATTTTTAGTTATCGATTAATTAGTTAGGCAATGCAATAAAAAAAAAGAAACTAAAAAAGTTTTCACTTCTAACTGTATCTTTTAGGATTTATGGATGCTGTCAATAGTGTTCGACGACATTTGGAAAATGAAAAGTTAAAGGAAGTGGATTTTGGAGCAATATCAGGATCTAAAAATAATCGAAACAATTGTCATGTAATTTTTTCTATCAAATTTCTATCAAAATTTTTTCAATCAAATTTGTCATGTAATTTTCTATCAAATATTCGGGTGATAATTGTTTTTTTTCTTTTTAGAATATTTTTTGTAGATAAATTTAACGCATTCAACAAATCGAAATACAACACAATCGACTGATCTCGGTTATTATAACTGGTGTAAAAAAGGATTGCATGTTGTTAATTATGCATTGCATCATTCACCTTCCAGGTAATCCTACTATAATCAAATAATCAAGTAATACTTGTAAAATGACAGAAAAGAAGAAAATTTTAGGTTTAAAGAAAGGAAATTTAAGCATTTACCTGTTGAACATAACTAAAAATGACACAAAGTGGAAAAAGGAATGAAAAAGTTTAAATTTGAATTAAAAGAGATTCAACTGTAGCTATTCGAATGCTCTATCATCGGCATTTTCATCTAGCAGAAGAAATGACGTAATGGTAGATGCAGTTGTACCACCAACCGTAATACATTGCCTGACAGGTGCTCATGAATCTGGTGTTTATTTGCTTGTGGAATTGATGATTCACTGTATTGAGCATAACATGGTATGTTTACTTACAATGACAAACAATATTTAGAAGAGAAATTACTTATTCAAATAGCCATCTAGATTTTGTAAAATAGAATGTTTAGGCATGTTTGTCTCTTAGCAAGGACGATATTTCGAAACTATTACTTTAAGTTTTTAATTTCACATTGAAATAAACACAGCTTCATTCTTTTGATAGTTTTCGGGAATATTGTATTCTCATCCTCTTCCCTACAATGATGGTTCCCAGGAATACGGTACACATATCGTCTTCCCTACGGTAATAGTCCCCTGGAATACTGTTGTTCATCCCCTTCTCTACGATAATAGTTCCCAGGAATACTGTATGTACATCGTCTTCCCTACGACAATAGTTCTCGGGAATACTGTTATTCATCCCTTTCTCTACAATAATAGTTCCTAGGGATACTGTGTGTACATCGTCTTCCCTATCTTTTCCCTACGATAATAGTTCCCGGGAATACTGTTATTCATCCCCTTCTCTACGATAATAGTTCCCAGGAATACTGTATGTACATCGTCTTCCCTACGACAATAGTTCTCGGTAATACTGTTATTCATCCCCTTCTCTACAATAATAGTTCCCAGGGATACTGTATGTACATCGTCTTCCCTATCTTTTGCCTATGATAATAGTCTCCGAGAATACTGTACTTTTATATTTATTAGCATCAAAATCAGTTCAATTTTCTAAAGAATAAATTTGTTCAGTATGTGGATATTAGCAAAACATTGGCATTGTTACGACAGCAGAGAATGTGTCTCGTAAAAAATGTGGAACAATATCGCTTTGTATATTCTGCACTGATCATTTATTTGCAAAAGTCACGGCTCATTTAAAAGAAATGAAAGATTGTGTCGAAAACTTTGTATGATTTAAAGTTTGTATCGAAAGTTTTGTATGATTTAAAGTTTGTACAGATGAATGTACTGTGTAATGGAGTGTCTTTGTTATGAATTTTATTCGCCAACAATTACATTACACAAAGTATTAATCTATCATAATGTACTGTTATTGACAAGTATAGAATGAAGGGAAAACAAACAAATATCAAAAATAAATGAAAATTTTGAATTAAGGAAAAATGAATGAGTAACAATCAAATGATAGCATACTGATACTAAAAAATTAACTCACATAATGAATTTTAATTCTGCCTTATATAGTGGACATTAGCTTACAACAAAGCTCATTATTAGAATGAGTGAAGGAGCTGTCACTGCCAGATTATCTCAATCCTTTATATAGTATGGTAGACGTAGACGTGTACAGTATTACGTTTAAAAAGTTTAAACATTTTTTTAAACGAACTATAGCATTTTAGATAATGAAGAGAAGTTCAGAAAATGAAAGGTAAGTGTTGGCTGAACGATCTCTTATCTAAAACATATGCTTGAAACAGTTTTATATTTATTTGATATTTAAATATGACAGTTAGTTTATGATTTAGTAAGAATTTATTTCAACATATTATAATTTGGTTTTTCCTGCAGATTTCATTATTCCAACATCTATTTAATCTGTAATATATTAAGTATGTAGATGAATGAATATTGTAATTAAACACTTTTTCATGCGATTTTAATTTCGATAGTTCTTTTCAATTATAGATGGAAAAGAACTGTCTATGATAGTTATTTTCGTTAAATATAAAACTAATTTTGGAAAACACTTTGTTTACTCATTGAGTTCACTCTTTATGTGAATGGAAAGGAATCTAAAAATTAAAGTATCTTAGACAGTGGTCACACATTAGGGCAGTCAAATGTCCAACTTTGTCAGTGACACTTTTCCATTTGTTTGTTTGTTTCTATACAATGTTGCATTGCCAATGTTTTGAATGTAAATTTGCTCAATTAAATTTCGCCACATTTAATCCTTTGTTTATTTAATATTCTAAATGACACGGTTAATTGTATATATTCTGTTCACTTTCCCTTTCTTACTTAAACAATACTTTCTTTGTCAATTTAAACGCATTTATTGTTACTGCGCCTTGTAAGAATGAATGGTATTTGAGTCTTAAATTAGAATGGGATCAAAATAAATTAAAAATCAAGAATTTAAAAATTTGCTTAAATTTCATTCTATTCGTTATAGAGAGTACAAAATGTGCACAGATAAATTTTAATTGAAAATTAACTTGTTGAATAGATTGATGATTTGATGAGTTTTTCATTTTACTTTCAGCTAAATTTTGCACATTCAATTCATACTGTCCAGACTTTTCAGAAAAATTATTCCTTCGAAGTATAATACACTCCTGACCATCACTGACCTCTGACCACCACTAACCTCTGATCTTAAGTGAGCCATCTTATGGATGGATGCTTTATTCCTATAATTCTCCTCCAACTCTCTTAATTACACTTTCCTTAGTCTGAAGAGAGGATGGACAAATGCTGTAGGGCGGTAATGACCCGTAGAAGAACTATTTTCAAAAATAGGACAGATGAGCTCAAGCAGTTAGTCTTCCTTATTTCAAATTTTACCTCCGATTCCATAATTAAAAAGGAAGATAAAGAATTAGTGAAATACACAGCGATGCTACCACTACTTATTGAGAATGAGTAATTCAAAAGAAAGAAGCTAAAAGCGAAGGTATGTTTTATTTAAAAATCGACCTTGTATAAACAATCAGACAGAATGGTCACTGCTGTACGACCTTTTTCTGTGGTCAATGTAAAATTCGGCTGATGATGAACGTGCCAAAACGTTCAGGTCATTATTGTCACAACTGCAATATAATGCATATCGATAGCAATGTATAAAAGTGAAATTAACAAAACATTGAAAAATTTTATGAAAACGGAACAAACCAAAAGTGAAAAGTGTAAAGTAAATTATCAAAAATCTAACTTTCTACTATCTCATAGTGAAGGAAACTGACACGGATAATCTCGGATTTATTACAAAATCACGCAACCCATCGATTTGGCGCAAATCATTCTCGACCGCTCTGATATCACCATTAAAAGAATCGTGGAAAATGCAACCATTCTCAGTTTGAGTCCAGTTAATAAAATAGTTCCATTTGGTTGAAATTAATAGTTTAGGTCGTTTCAAATTCAAGTGTCGCAGATTTTCGACATTTAACTTAAAAATCATTTTCAGAATGCTTTTATATCCAAATATTACCAATGTATTTATCAATTGTTTATTAAATCTAAATCTAAACAGCAGATATTATCATGTATTTTTTAAAATTATGATTTTCTTGGAATTATAAAACATCAAAACTGTTTTAACAGCATGTAAGCTGTAAGCAGATAATGTCTAATGAAATATTAAAAAAAAAAAATGTTCTATAAGTTAAAAAAGAAAAAAGAAAAAAAATATATCGTAAGAATAATAAATTTCGATTTTACAAATAATATTGCAATTAATTTCACTATTCAAATAACAAAAAAATTTTTTTAAAAAAATATTAATTATTACTAATTTTCTAAATTTATCGCTTTGTTGGTACTTTTGAAAAAGAAATGTTTGTTTTTTCAAAAATTTTTTTCCCTTATTTATCATTATTGCAAAAGGCAGATTTTAAAGCTAAAATTAAGTTTAAGCCTAAATCTAAACTAAAATTTAAACCTAACTTGAATTGCTATTTGATTGAAGCATCCATCATATATGAACTTCTACTGGTTGATGGACATCATCAGAACAATCATTGATCAATCTTTTATGATCACTTTACGATCAAATGAACAATATTGATAATTTGCATTTGTGATGAAAGATTATTGCAATATCAAGAAAGTTCTTTACTGATTATTCCATATTTGAAAATAAACTTTTATGTTTTGTGGTGTTTTTTCATTTCTTATTTAACATTTTTTTTTTTTGTTCATATGCACAGAAATATTTTACATTTTCTACTTTTTTTTACTGAAAAAAAACTAAGAATTTGTCATTTTATTGACATTTAACGAAATAATCTTTCTTTTTTGAGTTTGTTTAGGTTTTTTTTCATTTTTTTGTTTAAAAAAAAAATTTGATCTTTGTCTTATTTTTTTCCAGGAACCTTTAATTTAATATATTATTATGTTATTAATTATTATTATCATATTACTTATTATTATTCTTACATTATTAATTATAATATTAATTTTTAGAAATTTTTATTTTCATTGAGGAACGACATTATCATATTTGTTAAATTTTAATTGTAATGTGCAAATTTATTGAAAAATTGAATGCTATAATGTTAATTGAAAAGAATCAAATCACAGAATTAGGCTTTCAAAAAAGTTTTTCGAAAATTTCAAATGAGATTGGCTACTAATAGTTTCATAAGTGATTAATTTTATCAAAATGATATAATCACATTAGTGCTTTTATAGCATCCAAATTGTATGTTTTCACAGTTCCACTATGTGACACCCTATGCGACACACTATGTGACACCCTATGCGACACACTATGTGACACGAAATATAAGCTCATTTTGTGAAAAGAGCAAAGAACATATATTTGAAAATTTTAATGAAATGAATCATATTATCCAAATAGTAAATTAGAGATCCATTTAAATTTGCAAATGATAATTAGCATCAAAATATTTCGGAATATATTCGAGAATTTTTCTATACAACAAATTAGATACAAAATTGAATATAAAGTTTAAAAAACATTAGAATGATTGAAGAACTGAAAAGTCATAAAGAGTATAAAGTGGAATATGGAAATTTATTTTCAAAAAAAAAATTATAAAAATTTTATGTTTAATATTTGCTGTTATGTAAGAAAAAAATATATACATTTAAGAAAATTTTTATGTATAAAAGAAGTATTCAAATAAAAAAAAAAGCTATTTACAATGAATTCATTAATTCTGATCAGAGAATAGATGACAAAAGTCAAAAGATAACATAAAATTTAGTTGAAATTTAAATATATTCCAGATATTCTAATAAAAAATACTAAAGGAATGTTTTTTTTTTTTTTTTTAACATTCTTATGCGATTAATTCAATCACTAAAATTTGTCGTTAATTTATTGAAATGTATTTTATTTCAATTGCATTTCAAAATTTGTTTCTGATTTTATTAAAAATTTTATGATAAATATTTTGATGATTTTCCAATTTTCTAACATTCATTCATTTCTAGTTGTAAGAATAAACGAGTTCAGAAATGATTTTCAAGTACTCATCGTCCTTTTTTTTTCGTACATCACATCCGGTTATTGTACATCATATCCGGTTGTTTCACATCGTATCCGGTTTTAGCTATTATTACACGGAAATAGTCGAAATACAGCATACCAATCACCATTGCTAGATATTGGATTAAACAAAGTTGCATAATGCTTAAGCATTAATGTTAGTACTGTCTGAAAGAAAAAGACCCTCATTTTACGGTTTAAATTTAGAAATCAAAAAAAAAAAAAAAAAAAGAAAAAAAATTGGAGTATAAATTTAAAATTGTATAATTATTGATAAATTATATGTTTCTCATTTGAAAATTAATTATCTCATTGAATTTCAAAATTATCGATTAATTAATTGCATTTGTGTTAAATTAGTATGAATTTGGAGGAAATTTTAAAAATGAAAAAATGACATAGAAATTAGTCATTTAATTGAATATTTTATAAATAATTTCTTTCATTTAATCGTTCTTTTTTCATTTTCATTTTTTATTTAAAATGATTAAATTAGTAATTTTGAATACTTTTTTATTTTTATTTTTATAAGACATTTTATGATTTAAATTATGTGAAAAGAATAATAACATAGTTCTTACTACCTGATCATCATCAATTCTTCCAGAATCTAACAATTCCATAAATGATTTTTGATAAAATCGATAGAAACGATTAATGGTATGACTATCACCAG